CCACCTGTCTTGGACATCTGGGAGGGAATCACGTGGTGAACCGCCCTGGACTGCAAGTCAGCTGTTTCCGGTCTCTTCACCCAAGGTGTGACTTGGAACACTTTTCCGGTTTTGTTTTTCAAACAGTCTGGACCTCTTCGTCAAGGCCTACGGTGTCGCGGGTGCTGCTCAGGGTGCCAGGCCAGGGGGGATTGGCCCCGACCAGTGAAAGTGGTAGATCCAGGGCAAGGCACGGACACCGTCCCGTCCGTCAGTCTGTCCCTGCTGGCCCTGTGGCCATAACCTAGATGCCGCTGGGGGTGAAATGGGGGTTCCTTTCCCGTCTGGAAAATGCTGGAGGTTTGATACGCTCAAAGCCCAGAGGCCTCTTCCTGTGGGGCACGAGAAAGGTTGTCTATAGTCTGACCAGTCTGGGGAATTTTGGGACCAAGTGTTAAGAAACCCATTAAAACATTGTTTTCATGCTTCAGTGGATTGTTTTAATGAACAATATTTTCTCATTATAAGAGTAATACTGGTTCATTATCAGAAGTTTGGGGAAATATGTCTAATTAGTCACCTAACAGCCCAGAAACACGGACTAAATATTTTGGCATGTGTCTTCGCAGTTTTTAAGGCGTGCTGTGGCGAACGTCGCTGATGACATGTGCCTGGAAGCGGCCGAGTATTTCCTCGGTGAATTCCTAGAAGAGGCACTGCGGGGCCAGAGACTGACGCCGTCTGCCGGAACGCCCGCCGGACGCGCGTGCGCAGTGCGGTCCGCCTGCGGGCCGGCCGTTGCTTTCCTCTCCGGCGGCCTCTGCATCGCTTCGGTTTTAATTTCTCTAACTGCCGGTGATGTTGAGCATCTTTTCATTTTGCTGTTGGCCGTTTGGAAAATTGCCTGTACGTGTCCTTTGTGCGTTTTTTTTTTTTTTTTTTCATTTTTCTTTTGGGCCATATGTCTTTTTCTTACCCTAGAGCTGCTTCTGTTAAGGGTGTTAGCCCGTCTCCGCCGCGTACCTGTGTGGATCATGTTTATTTTTTCACAGTTTCTCATTTATCTTTTCACTGGGGCTTGACCTTTTTGTTTGTTTTCTTTGCAGTGGTCAAGTTTTAAATTGGCGATGTAGCCAAGTCTCTTGAGTTTTTTATGGTTTCCGGCTTTGGTGTGAGGCCCGGAGTGGCTTTTACCATTCTGAGATTTCGTAAGAGTTCACCGATTTCATGGCTAGATTTCAAAATAAGAGAAAGACTTAAGGATGGAGGGGCTGAAGCCAGAGGATCCTTTATCTGTATCTGTTTTCCCTGAAGGCGTTCACAGCACCGTTGTAATTCAAAACACTCAGATGACAGAAGACATCATTTCCTATGTCTGGACCTCTTCGTCAAGGCCTACGGTGTCGCGGGTGCTGGAGGAAGTGTGACAGTCCCTAGTGGGGGCGAAACTGATGTCCTCTGCCATGCCGCGGCGTGTAGATGCCGGCCCACACTTTGAGGAATGGACCCTGAGTCCTGCTCTCGCGTGTCCAGGCGGGTCTCTGCTTATCAAAGCAAAAAACTGAGAATGCCCAGCAGGAGGGCATCTGTGAAAAGGATAGTACATCGCGCACCGCTGAGCCTCTGATGGAAAGAACGAGGCGGGCCTGTGCCCAGGTATGCTCTCAGGAGCAGGTGGGGGGTGGCAGGTGACCTGCTGCCTGGCCAGTGGAGGTACAGACTCACACTGTCCCCCCTGGATCTGAGAGCAGCCCTCAGTGGGATTTCACTGGGGAGTGGCCGAGGGTGGGGGTGGGGGTTGGCAAGGGGATGCTTTATTGTTGCTTTTATACTGTTTCAGTTTTTTAATGTTGAGCATTGTTTTCATCTATAAAAAAGTTAACTCTCGTGAAGTATTTAATGGGACTCTGTGGATGTTAACGTATGCAAATGCAGTCATATGCATATCCCACCCAGAGCAACCACTGACTCGATTGGATCTTTGGAAATACAACAAGTTTGAAAATCTTTTACCTCAGAAGCTACTTCTGCCAGCTTTGTTCAGTTTTATCTCTTGAGTGCCAGGTCCTTAGGATGCTCCTGGCATGGATTTCGCCATGTTTCTTACGTACCATTTCAGGGGACGACGTGACACTGAGTTTGCCTGTTTCTAAGGGAGCGTTCTAACCTGAAGCAGAGCAGAAGCCTCCTGAGAGGCAATGATTCGGGAGGGCCCAGTCACGCTGTAAACAGAAACTGGACACATCTCAGATTTGTTCAAGAAAGAGCCAGATTGCTTCCAGCTCGAGATCCGAGAGGAAAAAGATTTTCTTGCTCTGAGTCTTCGCAGAAAACAAATTGGACGAAGGCCCTTATTAGGCAATTTAGGGATGTTTGCTCCTGTCCTCAGAGGGCCTGGTGGCCCCAGGAGGTGGCCGGAATGGGACTCAGGACCAGGAGGGAGGACACCTTTGAAGGTAGGAAAACCCGTGCGGAAGAAATCGGACATCTTCGGGCTCCGGGACAGGAGCCCACCTCAGGCCAGTCCCCCATGGAGGGGAAGTGTGTGTGGGGTTAGTGGGTGACACCCTTGGGCCGCAGGACCGGGCAGAGGGACTTGGCTGTGATGTGGATCTGACAGAGGCCCCGGCCGAGATGGCTGCTCGGTGGCCCCAGTTGAGGGAAGTGGCTGGGTTTTGACAACCCCTGCACTGAGGTCACTGGATGGGGCTGCCCTTGGAGGGCAGTGACCTTGGCCCAGGAGTGTCCTTCAGGCTGAGACGTGGCCGGCACAGGCTGCACGTCTGCCACCTCTGCCTGGAAGGGGGTCGGGCAGCTGGCCTGTGTCCACCACCAGCATCCGAGACTGTCTTCCGTTGGAAACATCTACTTGAATCTTATGCTTCAGAAACTCTGCCCGCCACTGTGTCACCATATTTCAGGCAAAGCTCAGAAACTTGTTAAATCTTTCTCCGAAATTTTATTTCAGCTCCATTCAGCGTAAGAGGCTGCAGAAAACGTGTGAAGACATCAGAAGATGACGAGGCTTAGATACACGAATCGGAACTAGAATTTTAACCCTCGGGATTAAAACGATGCAAATGCGAGAAGCAAAACGTGTTCTGGCGACACTCGCCCCAGCCGAGCGTCGAGACTCGGCGGGCGTGACAGCGAGGGTTCCCGCGTCGGCCTCAGACGTCCCCCCACTCCGTCGAAATCCCGTTTCCGGTTCCCCGAGGCAGAGGAAGAGAGCACCCACCCACCACACAGTCTCTGAGCTGGGCAAAGGCCGCTAGAGAACTTTCTGGAGAACAAAGGGATCTCTGTGGATTGCCAGATCTTCCTGCGACGCCCAGAGCGAGCCTCGACGTCTTGGCTGTGGAGAATGTCACTTCAGGTGTCATCTGAAGACCCCAGCCTCAGGCCTCTAGGACTGGGGCGGAAAAGGGTCCGAGCACAACATTTGTGATTGAAAAAGGAGAGACTTTTCCTGAAGGATCCAGTGCTGGCTGAGGGACCGGGTTGGGGGAGAGGTCACTGTCTGAGCACAGACCCCATCCCTCTGCCGGAGGCACTGACCAGGGAGGGGACAGGGACCCTGGGCTTTAGGGACGGGCCAGTGGCAGAGGGCTTAGTCCAGTGTCCCGCTGCAAAGCCAGACGCTTGTCCTCGGCTGCATGTGGTGATGCTTCAGCACGTCTTACAGCCTCAGTTTTCTTACCCACCAGGGTCGAGAATTGTAGACCTCGGATGGACGGCATGACACCGAACCTGCGACCTCGATCTGGGGGACAGATTAAGGAGTAAAACCTGACAAGGTCCCCACATGCCAGAAATGGGGCGGCGTGAGCTTCGGCGAGCGTGGCAGCCGTGGCCGAGGGTAAACGCGTGGGTGCGCTGAGATCGGTCACCTCGAGGAAGACGGGTCAGCTCCTGGGGGACAAGCAGGTGAAGAGGAAGAAGCAGTACTTTCCCCGCCTTTCCCTTGGGACCGGCACCCACTAGCGTGGACGGGAATGCCGGAGCATCGCCCCTTCGCGGCTCCTGCCGCGGGGGCCCCTCCGACGGAAAAGCAGACCTTCGCGCCCTGACGGAGAACAGCGGCCCCGAGGGTTGGCCCAGGGGGCGGGGCCTGAGTGATGGGGCCCCCGGCCTGGCCGCCACCTCGTGGAGCCCTGGATGGGGCGGGCAAGCCGCGTGTGGAGGGGGCGCCGGCAGCCCACAGACGGCGGGGAACCGGCAGGGGCGGGGGGCAGATCCAGAGTAAGGCAAAGAAGGGATGTTGAAGGCCCTGGTGTGTGTCACCAGCGTTACTGTCCCCTCTCCCTGCCGAGACCCCAGGGGTCCCCTCAAAGCTTCCCCAGGGGCTTCTGGGGGGAAAGCCCTTGAGAGCGAGACCCCCCAGACGGCACGCAGGACTTTCTCACCCCCTGTGGTGGCCGTGGCTCCAGGCGGGCAGGTCTGGGCTCCACTCTGAACCCCCGTCTCCAGGTTTCAGGGTGGCGGTCGCCCCCACAGCCCAAGTGGAGAGACGGGCCCGGGAACGGTGGCTGGTTTTGTGTGTGCGGCTCTTTCTTGTTCCGAGGTGGGGTGCTGGCCTCCTGGCCTGTACAAGGGGGAGCGGGGACCAGGGTGGCCGCCTCCCTGACCCCTGCCAGGCGTTTCCCGTCGGGGTCCCTGCTGCCTTCCTGTCTCCAGCCGGCCGCCATCTGCGTGCCACGCCCTCCCTCCCAGCTCCCTTGGGCTGCTGTGTTCTACCTCGCTGGCTTTTTAAGAACCGATGGGCTCTGTACGCTCAGGCAGGCCACCGGCCCCCGCCCGCCTGTCCCAGACTGCCACACAGGAGAGTCTGGATGGAAGGCAGCCAGCATGTTTCCACACCCACCGAGCTGAAGTGGGGGGCTGCCGATGTGTTTCCGGGGGGCCTCAGCACGGGCTGTCTGGAGGGTCTCGGCCGCGTGTCAGAGTGAGCAGGTCCTGCCCCGACGACAGAGCCACAGTCACTATCCACTGGACCGTGACTTAAATCCCCAGCACGCTTACCCAGCTGGGAAGGAGCCGGGGTCCCTCCCAAAGCAGGAGTGAGGAGGAAGTCAGAGATCGGACATGGAAAGGGGGGCGTTTCCCTTCCCAGGACAGTCTCGCCCTGGGCCTGGTGCCCAGCCCGAGGCCCGGGACTGCCAGCCAGCGGGCAGTCCTCTGCCGGTCCCACGCCAGCCTCGCTCCTCAGGGTGCAGCGGCCACTGGGCCACCACCCGGCGCTGCCCTTTATCTGAGCAGGTGACCCCTTAGGACAGTTTTCCTGTCTTATCTCCGGCTGTAGGCATTGCAGTCTGGCCACAGCGTTCCCGCATCCTGACCAGTCTGCTCTGGGGCCGGCCAGGCTGGCGTGGTTTCAGCCGCCCATTCTTTAAGTGACACCCCCCAAGCTGACTTTACTTCTTCCTGCTGGGCCGAAGACACAGGAGTTACACCCAGCAGGAGGCCGCTCCCCCTGCCCTCCCCTGGGGGCCGGAGTCAGAACCTGCCACCGCAGTGAGCAGGCCGCAGGCCAGGGCAGGGTGATCGGGCCCAGAGGGGACCGTCCCACCTCCTGGGTCACCTGGGGTGAGCATGGCAGAGCCAGAGCAGTAGCCGACCTGACAGGAAAACCTAGAGACCAGAGACGTGTGGCCGGGGCTCGGATGCGGAGGTGATGGCCGCAGGGTGCGGGCTTCTCTCTGGGGTGATGAAATGCTCAGGTCGGCTGTGGTGGTGGATGCACTTGGAAACCATTGACTTGTACCCTTTAAGTGGGTGAGTTTGGTGGCGTTTGAATTCTGTCACAATAAAGCTGTTAGAAAGGTGGACAAATAAGCCAAGCCCCGGGGCTGGGTTGGCGGGGTGCCCTGGGCCCGGGGACTCAGGAAGAGCTGGATGAGAAGGTGGCCACGGGCCTTTCCTGGCAGCCGGTGACATGCCGCTGAGCAGGAGCGGGCCGGGCGGGGGTGGAGAGCACCAGGCGGTGCCAGGCTCTGGCGAGGAGCAGAGGTGGAGGTGTGCACGTGGACGGGGGCCGTGTCCCCACAGAGCAGGACGACCCGGGGCCAGGCCAAGCTGCTCCCTTGGGAAAGCCAGTCCGGGGTGACTCATCCAGCCCCGTTCGAGCTGAGGCCCACACCTGCCTTGTCACTGAGCGCAGTTCATCGCGATTACTTTTCATATTTGCAAAAAGCAAACCGCCCCCTGGACAGCGTGGCTATGTCCCTGGAGGGAGGGCCGGAGACAGTGTAACCTCTGGTCTGCTAAAATATTCGTATTGCGTACCCCAACTTATGAAAGTAAGAGGGGCTGAGGGTGGAAGTCCCTAAGAAGGAGGTTTAGGGCACGCGGGCGGGCAGCCCTTCCCAGTCCACTCACATTCTCTGGTGGCCTGGACTTCTCTGCGGGGAAATCGACACCGGACCCAGGATAGAGCCGGCTTGCGGGGACCCAGTGCAAGGGCTCCCCCGGGACGGGCCTGGGCTCCCCGCCAGTAGTGCTGGGTTCAGATCGTGACTGTGCTGTGCAGCGGCCAAGGAACTGTGAGCAGGTAAGGACACTGCAGTCCCCCCGCCCATGGCGAGTGACAGCCTTGTGACACAACAATGCAGAGCGAGCCTTCAGTCAGCACACGCACCATTCGCTCTCCGCCTTTTAAACTCTCGGTGGCCCTCACTCTCCCCGTCATCCTAGGGCACGATGGCAGTGAGTCCCAGGCACCCTTCCAGGGACGTGTGTCCCCTACCTCCTCCGACTCTGAACCAATGGCCGGGGGACCTATGCCAACAGCGTGACAGCCTCCTCTTCCCGCAGCCCCCACACGTGGCACAACCCAGTGTTTTCTGGGGGGGGGCAGCGAGACCCCCCCACCTCTCCAGTCCCTGCATGCGGGTGCCGAGCTCGGCCCCCCCACGAGCCACCCCGCCCGTGAGCTGCTTCCTGTCCCCGCCGCCAGCTCCTGCCCATGTCTGTTCCCCGGCCTCACCTGTGTGTTCAGTCTGCCGCTTATACTCACCTAGTTTTCCTGAAAATGGAGTTTCAAAAACCCTGTTTTCACGGGATCTCTAGGTGACAAAACATATTTGGATGTACACAGCCACGTTCATAACGGGAGGCCCAAACGCTCGCTTTTCGAGTAAATAATCTTTTAAAAAAAGACAAGGACCTCCTTTGTGAGTCTGTTCAGGTTTATTTTTTTCAGCTAAAGACAGCAATCGTTTTTTTCCTGAAAGAAAATTTTAGAGTCTTGGTGTTAGGAATATCTATTATATAACATTTTAGCTTTTAAAAAAAGTACACATTATAAAAAAAAAAGTACACATTAGGGAGATTTATTCAGGTCAAATAATTTAAGGAAACCCAGTAGAATGAATGAAAAAGACAAGTGTCACTAGATTTTATCTTGGGGGGAAAAGGCACAGACACTTCTCATTTCCGGCTGCTCAGTATTGTGCTTATTTGTATAAAAGCCTTGAGAGGAAGTCGTGTTTCCTTCCTGCTGCTTCAAGGGGGCACAGTGCGTGCCAAGGGCCTTCGTTCCTGTCACAGGATCGGGGCCCCCAGCTCTGGACGCTCCCTGGGCTGTGGGCAGCCGGGTACAGCAGACGCCACCGGGAGTGGGGCTGAGGGTCGGGCGCCAGCCCCTTGGGGACAAGCAGAAACGAGCAGCTCAGCTTCGGAATGATGGGGCCCGAAGGGGCCGGCATCGTCAGAACCGCGGGGCCCGGCCGGGGCCCAGGTGTGTGCTCCTGGTGTCCTGTGCGGCTGCTTTGACCTTGACGGCCGAGGTGGGAGGCCGCATGGCAATGTGCCAGGATGGACAAGGCTTCGTCAAAAATGGAACCCCTGGGGACGCCTGGTGATTGTGGGGAGATGAGGGCATGGATGCGGCACAGGAGGACGTGTGTCAAGACGCAGGAAGCGTCCCATGACAGTGTCCCCATGGTGGGGCTGTCCCCGCCCGGACACGGTCTCGGTCAGAAGATTCGCAAAGCCCCGTGGCATGGGCGGGAGGATGCTGGGCTCAAAAAAGATCTGAAATCTAGAGAAGTGGCTCCCTCCAAACCAGTGGCTCTCGACCGGAGGTGACACAGCCTCCCAGGGGGCGCGTGGCTGTGTCTGGGGACGCTACTGGTTGTGACATCTGGGGGGAGGGTTGCTGCTAAGTGGCGGCTGGAGGCCGGTGCCGCTGCCACGACCAGGAATTGGTGCAGCGTCAACAATGCGGTGACTGGCAAACCCTGCTGGACGTGACGCCTTCAGGAAGAGGGAAGGGGGGTCCGGGCGGTGGCAGGTCATGTGGGAGGCCCGCTTCACCGTCGCAAGGGGACGGGCTCCCGCAGCACACCCCTGCAGTGCCTGGGACCCCCAACGCGCGTCGTGGCTGCTCAGTCGTGTTGAGTGAGGGCGATGGGAGAATCGATTGGCTTAGACGAATCGATTGGCTTAAAGGTTCCAATGTGGAAGCAGGTCTCCTTGGTGGATGCCGGCGTCCCGTGGTCAGTGCTTGGGGAAGGAGCCGGAGCTGACCGGGAGAGAGGAAGGCTGAGAGGCCGTCTATCTTTTCCAAAGTGGAGAGGGGAGGGGTCCATCGGTTTAGCCAGAGCCCCTGAGAAAGCCTGGGGATCGGCCTTAGGGGCCCGGGGCTGGATGCCAGCCCTTCAGGGAGCCTCCCGGAGGCGAGGCGGGCGGGTGCAGGAGAGAGAAACACTCCCCAGCCCCACATGCTCCCAAGACACTTTCAGCCCCGAAGCGGTCATTACACATGCTCTTTGGAGCAGTGATTTTTCTATTTCGGTGCAAATCTTTCTGTCAGACTCTTTTAAAAAGGTCCACCTGCCGTCTCCACAGAAGTGGTAGGAAATGGTAGTGGCCTAGGGCTGTAGCACCTCACAGCGCCAGCTGGGAGCCAGCGGGGAGGGCACAGGCTACGGATGGCGATGGCTAAGACCGCAGTGTGGGGAGGGTGCGCAACCCAGCGTGTGCCTACGCGTGTGTGCACGTGGGCGTGTGTGTGCTTGTGTGTGTGCACACGTGCACTGTGCATGCCGCTTATAAAGAAGTAGAAATGACGATCTAAAGTTTCACTGTATAGAGTGCTTCCTGGGTGTGCATGTGTGTGCGCACATGTGTGCTTCCTGTGTGCGTGTGCACGCACGTGCGTGCTTTCTGTGTGTACACGAGTGCCTGCACGTGTACTTCCTTGCGTGCATGTGTGTGTGCGCACACTTCATGTGTGTGTGCTTCTCGTGTTCGTTGCATGCATGTACACTGCTTGTGTGTGCATGTGGGTGCTTCCTGTATGTATGTGTACCCGTAAACATGCACACGTGTGCTTCCTTGTGTACACGCAAATATGCATGCATCTTGTGTATATGTGTGCATGTGCGTGTGAAGGGGCACACATCTGCACGTGTGACACGGACTGCGTGGGGGAGCTGCCATCTCGATCGCTGACGTGGGACGATGTCAACCTGAAACGCTGTGGCCACGTCGTCCCTTCCCCTGGCCATGGGGAGAAGGGTCATTTGTAGGCACTGGGGAAGAGACTGACAGCGAAGGGCAGAGAGGCAGGAATGTCCGCGGACCTCTCCTTGGTGTCCGGCCGGCGGAGGCTGCCGCCGCCCTGCCGGGCCTCCTTATCGGCCCGTTCCTGCCCCCTGTGGGAGTCCAACGGTGGGGCCTCCTGGCAGGCTTTGTGCTTCCGCTAGAACCGCTGTCCTCCAGGTGTATGCGGGCGAGCTCGGGCATCTGCAAAACAGGAAACTTTAGACAGAAAATGATACTGATTTCAGGTCGTCCCAGTTGGAAGCAGTGGGACAGTGTCCGTCAGGTGCAACTCCACAGATGACCTGTTGTCTGCTCAGCCTCCACCTTAGCGTTAAGATGCAACAGCCAGGCTTTTATTATGCTCATGGAGCCTTGGGGGGCAGGACTTCCAGCCCCAGCAGTGGGCTGGCTTTGCCTCTGTCCTGCTGTGCTGGAGGTGACCCAGCTGGGCCATCGCACTATGGGTAAGGACAGCTGGGCTTGGCCACAGCCGTTGAGCAGAGCACCTGCTCATGGCCTCTCCGCCAGGTGCGGGCAGAGCTGCCTGGTGTATGCTGACCCACCTCTGAACCTGTGGCTCCCCCGCCACTGTCCTGTGTCAGAGGAAGCTGTCACAGCCTGCCCACCTTCCAGGAGAGGGACGAAGACCCTGCCTCTCAGTGGGAAGAGGGTCACCCCCTTGGGGTGTGTTTTGTAGCTGCCACGCCCGAGCCCCTAAGACCTCTTTAAGGATGGAACATAGCTTCGTGCAAACATTTTTAACCAAGAAACACACTCCTGTTCTTGTGTCTGAGCACAGAGAGGACCAGCTCTGGAGCACCAGGAATGAACGCTGAGATCTAGAGGCCCCCGGAAAACCTGGAGCTCCCCAGATCTGGAAACCACCCCAGGCTTCAGAGCGGGGTCCCCTGCTGAGCACAGCAGTTCCTGCGAGGGCGAAAGCACTTTTAAAAATCAAATGAAGTGACATTCACATTTTGCAGTGCTGGGCATCTGCCTTCTCTGTCAAGTCCCTGAATGTTTTGTCACCACATGTGGAAACCCCGTGCCTGCCCTGGGCACTGCCCATCTGGGGTCCGTCTCTCTGGTTTGCTGGTCCCGGATGGCTCACGCAAGGGGAACCGCCCACCGTGTGACCTCCTGTGTTCGGCTTCGTCCCTCCAGCGTTCTGAGCTTCATCCACGAGCCAGATGTCCGAACTCCAACCGGTCAGTTGACGGACACTTGCGTTATTTCCACATTTTGGTTGTGAATGGTGCTGCTCTGAACATCACGTAGAAGTTTTT